GATAAAAATGCCCCGAGATTATCACGGAAAGTGATAATATTCGTTCATTTTCCCTGAAGCTTCAGGTTAAGCTTATGTTGATGTTCGAATACATCTGCTAGGTATGATACTCTCTCCAACTACTCTATGTCGATTTAAGTATACCAAAAGGTCATGTTACTATTTTAATTGTTGACAAACCGGTTCACACAATTACGTCTTACAAACGCACATTGTAAGGCTCTGCAGTCTGCGAATTAAATATAGCTAGCTATATTTTCTATAATATGGGATTCATTTCGTAAAAACAGCTCATACTGGTGAAAAGTTTGGGGTGGGGGTGGGGGGGGGGGGGGGGGGGTCCTAGAGCATGTTGTATATTTATGTTATATTATTTGTTCAAGATCTCTGGACGTGGTTTCAAATTTTTTTTATTTTGCTATTTTTTTACCCGAAAATATTTTCTTTTTACAAGCTTTTATTTAACTCAGTTCCTCTGTCGTCAGTCGTCAGTGGTCAGTCGTTAGTCTGGCTAGATCGAAACGACCGAGCGAAATTGCAGGCACTTCTAACTGACAGATACGGTTCATAGTTGGTACGTAGATCAAGACATGAAGACAATGCATCGTGACATTCAATTTGACTTAATTGGTCGCCTGATTGATTTTTTTATGAATTAATTAAAATGTTGACCAAATTAGTAGGCAGTTAAATCCAACTACTCCACAAGCGTCATCACGTTCAATAGCACGTCATCACATTCAATAGGCGCGCAATGGTTTTTAGTCATGTAACTCTATTGTAAATAAAAATATGTAAAGTACTAAACATTTTTCATAAAAAACGTTTTAATAACAAGCTTTTATGTAATAATGCACTAAAAAGTAGAAAACAAATTATATACTACTATTTAAATTACTATAAAGAAAAGCGTGGGTCTCTTCCTAAATATTAGTAAAGGTATCCAATAGATACTAAAATGACCCACGCTTTTCTTTATAGTTATTTAAATAGTAGTGTATAATTTATTTTCTACTTTTAGTGCATTATTACATAAAAGCTTGTTATTAAAACGTTTTTTTTATGAATTTTTTAGCATAATACTTAAACTTAAAATAAATTCCTTGAGACTTTTTGTATACTGCATACGCTGACCTAGATATACAAAAAGCGCGGGTCCTATATCTTACGAGTTACTTTTTAGGTGAATGGTTTTGATTGAATTATGAAAATGTAGGGTATCCAATCAAAATATTCAAAGTAGTTGTTGAAAGTCCTAAAATTATTTTAGGTGCGGTGTAAATATGTTCATTTATTGAAATTTGGTGGATACCCGGCAGGGTGCAATTTGGCGACCCGGGATAACCCACGTTCGTTTTAAGGAGCATCCTACAATATTGACTCGGCGGCAAACAAACCGAGCAGGGGTCGTACGCGACGCCCCTGCGGTAGTGTAATCGGGTGTTAACGAGAGCGCCCCTCTACGTACCCGAAACCTAGACGGTGAGTGATTAACGGTGATATTAAACTTTGGAAAGTCGATGGGAATACACTTGGGGAGATTTGTGCGAAAAAAATAATTTTGCACGGGCGGCGCCCGGCTGGGGGAAATTAGCGCCATGGTTCTCTTTTGAGCGCGATAGCACCTACGTTCGTTTTAAAAAGTGGGATAGAATATGGATACAATGGGGCTTTAAAGTCGTTCACTAAACTGAAACAGGCGTCCGCCGACGCCCCAGTAGGGTGCGATTTGCCCCGGGCTGTCCTCTGACTTTCTTCTATCCCCGCGGCAACGCGCTGGGACAGGCACGCTAGTATATATACTAGCGTGTCTCAATACAGAGACACATTATATATAGAGTCCATAATATATATATATATATATATATATATATATATATATATATATATACTAGCGTGTATTTATGTCTATATGTAAGTATGTATGTACGTATGGGATGGTATTTTGGATGGTGTGCCTTTGGGATGGTGACACCTTTGAGATTGTGTCACCTTTGGATATTATCAACTTAGGGGATGTGTAACCTTTGGGACGGCGTCACCTTTAGTGTTGTTACACTTTTGGGATGGTGTCACCTTTGGGTGGTATCACATTTGGTATGGTGTCACCTCTAAGATGATGCCCCATTTGGTATGTCGTCTCCTTTGGCGAGTTGACTCCTTTGGATTGGGGCCGACCTAGCGGGTATCATTCAGTGCGATCCGCATCCCACCCCCTTAACCCCACCCATGCTCGAAAGTTTCAGGGGGGGGGCGTGCAAATCGAAAGCCTGAGGGGGGGGGGTGTGCTAATCGAAAGTTTGAAGTTTTGCAAATAGAAAGTTTGACGGGTGGGGGGGGGGGGTGCAAATGGGAAATTGAAAGTTTGTCCCCGGGAAGGGTCGCTACGCCTCTGGGGTGTGACACCATTAAGTGCCGCACCATTAAGTCCCGACCTCGCCACGCCACTGTGTTACAAGCCGTAGTAGAATAGTTAAATTGTTTGTCACGCCATAGTAGAATAGTTAAAATGTTTGTCACGCCATAGCATATTAGGTAAAAGAGTTATCCCACATAACCGCTCAGCGTCGATGCAGTTCTGCAATAGTTTTTGTTAGAGATGTTGCATATATTAATAATATTATGTCACACGATCGGGTAGGGGAGCCTAAGTAGGCCATATTCTATGTTGTGTTACACGCAATAGGAGTGATGGTATAGCACAACGATTTACATCACAATCCCATGACTTGCGTTACTTTTAATATCATCAAGCGTTTTGTCATTTAAAATTGTTGACATAACGTTCTACACATATTGTCTTACACACTATATGTGGGGCTCTTCAGTATAGAATAAAATTATAAGTACCACACAATAAGATTTCATTTTTCTCTTCATATTTACAACCCATAATGGTGAAAAGAAAATATATGTAAAATGAGGGCTAGTTATCTATAATCTGTGTTTATTTTTACATTACTCGTGCCAGATCTTGGATACTGGTTTCAATTTTTTTTTATTCGTTTTATTTTTTTTATTTTTTTTAAATGTCCTTTTCGCGTCGCACACAAAATAAAACTGGAATTCCCAGAATTTTTTAGGTTATTTCATCCATCGACCTAGATATTAAAAGCGTGGTTCACTTACCTGTCAGGTACATAGGGGGGGGGGGAGGGCTGAACAGGTTTGATTGGACGATTACAATTTAGGATAACCAATCATAGCGATTGTTGAAAGCGCAAAACATATTTTAGGTTCTGGTAAGGAGATATTCGTTCATTTAGTTAACGCCAAGTTCTTCATACATACTATACGGGTTCGTTGCATATATCTTCTCTTCTGTTTTAATATGTAAATTATGTATCGCTGTTTATTTCAAAATGTGGTCAGTTTTTTTTTTAATTTTTACAAAACTGTGTTGCAAATAATGTGATTTAGATATGTTTTATTTCGCACACAGAGATGTCGACTCAAGTTGGATCTATTGTTGCGCTTGTTCTTCTCTTTGTTGGCGTTATACTGCACATTGTAGGACTGGCCACGCCCGAATGGATAGTGTTCAAAAGTGATTTAGGCAGTTTAGGCGTAGGTCTATGGGAGATCTGCTCAAAGGGGCAATGTTTAAAACACTCTTATGTCCATGAAGTAGGTATGGTGGCATTTTTTAAAAGAAGTTTTCCCCTAGTTTACAATGAAGAATATGGTAAGAGTGAAGATTAAGGATAAGCATATGATTTAGCAATAAGGTTAGGGATTTGGAGATGGCTATGGGGAAAGAAAGGAATAGATACTGGTATAATTTGTATTGTGTAGTGGGGTAAGTACACAGGGTTGTAACTGGGTGGAGGTAATTGATTTGGGGGCTAATGACCAGGAGGGGGTAGGTGAAGCTACCGTCTTACACCCAGGTAAAGCATGTTAATTTCGGGAAAAAAATTGGCTTATTTTAAGTTAGGTTTTAATATTATGTTTTTTAATATAAGTTCGAAGGGAAGCTTATATCCTAATTTACCAAATCCATTGATATGAAATAAAGATTTATATGAAATATTTAAGGCCTGAAATATTTTAATAAGAAACTCAATTTATGTTTTGTGTTTTATACATGTTTTTGTTTTTAACTAATTTATTTTGGTTTGGCCCTACAATTCTCCGACAGCTTAAATCTAGTTTATCGGCAGATCTAGATAAATTCGCTATTTTCTAAACTTAGAAGAACTATCAAGCGTTTCGTATTGAATATTGTGATAGTGTTGGAACCATACAAATAACAGAAACATCGTTAAAGTTATAGCCGACGGAAAATTTAGCTTTATACTGTATAAACTTTTCAATAGGCCGTAAAAGTTTTTCCGCGGTAGCCATTTTATGAAAATAAAGTATTTGTTGCATAATGAATGGTGTCTTCTTTTTATTTACTGTATTTAACATTTAAATACGTTTTAATTATACAATACTTAGTAGCTACTAGAACAAAAAAATGCCACGTTCTTGCATACGTTGTATCGTCTTACTACTTAAACTTGCGTGGTGTGGCTATGATAATGGAGTGTAGGTTGTCAGGGTTTTGTTCGGAGTGATGTTCATGTGTCGGGAGTGTGTAGTGGTGGGAATTGGTATGTCGGTAAAATGGGTTGGGGTTTGGTCTACTTCATGTGCTGTGAGGTGTTTTCCTCTCAGCTTAATTCTTTAGGATATCTGATTTTGTGAAATTAATATTGATTTCACGAGAGTTTTAAAAGAACATTTCTTTTATGATTAAGGTTTAACACTGTGGCAAAGTAGGTTTATACAGTTCGAATATATATATATATATATATATATATATATATATATATATATATATATATATATATATATATATATATATATATACAGAGAGAGAGAGAAAGATAGAGAGAGAGAGTAATTTCGTGCTTTTTGAGACTAGTATTTTCGCACTGTAACTATAACACACTTTCTAGTTGTACATTTTTCATAAAACTATAAAATATTAATTTTTCTTCTAGATCTAGGTTTAAATTTCGACATGGACAGTATTAAAGCATGCGAAGCAATGGCTATAATTGGTATGCTAATTAGCTTTTTTGCAATAGCATCAGGAGGAATTGATATCTTTCACAAAATCTCTGGTAGAGAAGCGATTGCTTCTTTTCATCTGATTACCACTGCCACTTCCATTATTTCATGTGAGTAAAAACAATATATATATATATATATATATATATATATATATATATATATATATATATATATATATATATATATATATATATATATATATATATATATATATATATATATATATATATATATATATATATATATATATATATATATATATATATATATATATATATATATATATATATATATATATATATATATATATACTAGCTGCGTACCCGTGCTCCGCCAAGGTAAATCTTTTTTAAATGTACCAACTTGGGAACAGAACAAAACAAAACACAACACAAACACAACACAAACACATCACAAACAGAACACAAACACAAAAGTAAACAAACCGTCGGTGGACGCGCCTGATTCAGTGAATGACTATAAAAACCCCAGCTTGTCCGCAAACCGAAAGATAGAATAATGATTATTAAACAGTATCTTTAGTACATACAATTAATAAAATTTAGTATTTAAAATATCCGTGATTTACCTACCAATTAGCACTTTATGAATGCATGCATTTTTATTTTCAGTTCTTTAAATAAAAAAAATTCACAATTTAGGTTCATGACTTGAACCTTTGCGCACCTAATGAACGTGATGACACGTGTAAAATGTTGCGGAATAGTTGATTAAAAATTATCGTTAGTAAACAGTACGTTCAGAGAATAAAAAAATTAAAAGATAGCCTTCTATCAACCCATGCTAATTATAATATTCCAACAATAACGTCCTCTTACACGTCTACAGAATTGGCATTCACATTTTGCTCATTATAATATTCCAACACAGTAGTGTAGCGAGGTCGACCCCCCTTGAAATTTTGTGAGGTGGTAGGAGAACGCCTTGGGGTGTCACAAAAAACTCGCCATGTCCGGGAAAAATCGGGAAATGGGTCAAAACTGACCAGTTGTATTTCCCTATATAATCTTTGTATTTTATGGGAAAAACAGAGGGTCATTTCAACGCAGACTTTAGGGTACTTAAGCTCAGTATATCTGGCTAATTTTTTGCATGCTCCTAGGTCAATGGCTTGACCTTTAGGGAAAACTGTCGGTTACACTCAAAGCCCTCGAAGAGGGCTAAAAAGTGACCGCGAGTGAAATTCTCTTTATATGAGCTCTATTACGAAAAAAAAATTCCTCCGACGACCCCCCTTGATATTTTGTGAGGTGGTAGGAGAACGCCTTGGGGTGTCACAAAAAACTCGGCATATCTGGGAAAACTTCGTAAAGGGGTCAAAACTGACCAGTTGTATTTCCCTATATAATCTTTGTATTTTATGGGAAAAACAGAGGGTCATTTCAACGCAGACTTTAGGGTACTTAAGCTCAGTATATCTGGCTAATTTTGTGCATGCTCCTAGGTCAATGGCTTGACCTTTAGGGAAAACTGTCGGTTACACTAAAAGCCCTCGACGAGGGCTAAAAAGTGACCGCGAGTGAAATTCTCTTTATATGAGCTCTATTACGAAAAAAAAATTCCTCCGACGACCCCCCTTGAAATTTTGTGAGGTGGTAGGAGAACACCTTGGGGTGTCACAAAAAACTCGGCATATCTGGGAAAACTTCGTAAAGGGGTCAAAACTGACCAGTTGTATTTCCCTATATAATCTTTGTATTTTATGGGAAAAACAGAGGGTCATTTCAACGCAGACTTTAGGGTACTTAAGCTCAGTATATCTGGCTAATTTTTTGCATGCTCCTAGGTCAATGGCTTGACCTTTAGGGAAAACTGTCGGTTACACTCAAAGCCCTCGACGAGGGCTAAAAAGTGACCGCGAGTGAAATTCTCTTTATATGAGCTCTATTACGAAAAAAAAATTCCTCCGACGACCCCCCTTGATATTTTGTGAGGTGGTAGGAGAACGCCTTGGGGTGTCACAAAAAACTCGGCATATCTGGGAAAACTTCGTAAAGGGGTCAAAACTGACCAGTTGTATTTCCCTATATAATCTTTGTATTTTATGGGAAAAACAGAGGGTCATTTCAACGCAGACTTTAGGGTACTTAAGCTCAGTATATCTGGCTAATTTTTTGCATGCTCCTAGGTCAATGGCTTGACCTTTAGGGAAAACTGTCGGTTACACTCAAAGCCCTCGACGAGGGCTAAAAAGTGACCGCGAGTGAAATTCTCTTTATATGAGCTCTATTACGAAAAAAAAATTCCTCCGACGACCCCCCTTGAAATTTTGTGAGGTGGTAGGAGAACACCTTGGGGTGTCACAAAAAACTCGGCATATCTGGGAAACTTCGTAAAGGGGTCAAAACTGACCAGTTGTATTTCCCTATATAATCTTTGTATTTTATGGGAAAAACAGAGGGTCATTTCAACGCAGACTTTAGGGTACTTAAGCTCAGTATATCTGGCTAATTTTTTGCATACACTACTATAGATGACTAGGCCGTATGGAAAAACTGTTGGTCAGACTCAAAGCCCTCGACGAGGGCTAAAAGATGATCTTGAGTGAAATTCTCCTTATATGAGATATATATATATATAAATAAATTGACGAACGATGTGACGTCGTAGACCGACCCTGGAGGCTAACAAAAAAACTTTAATCCCGTCGGAAACAGCCATTATAGTTGTTAAATATGTTCATATACCGTAATTTCTTATATAAGCATAGCAACTGTTTGTAAAAAAAAAAAACAAAGACATACGTCATACGTTCAGTTTTCAAGGGAGGTAACGTTTTTTAAATTATTATTTTTCAAATAATTGTATACTATTTTAAACAGAAACAGAAAATGACGAAGTATAGCATTTGTTTTAGTACAAAATTAAGTTGTTAATTTAGTTACGTATCCCAATTAAATAAATAAATAAATTTCAAAAGGCAATGTAATAAAAACTATGAGATGTACTGTTCATGGAAGCTGTGTAGTTCTAATTCCATTTTACTTATACATTGAGTACTTTCCGATATTTTTCTGAGAACGGTATTTAAATGACAAACTAAAACATTTTTTTTCTAAAGTTAGCATTACTGTTTAAATTAAAGCACTCAACACCAAATCCATCGCTAAATAATTAAGTATTCAAATTCTCAAATGTTATTTAAAAACCTAAGCGAAGCTAGGCAGTATGCCTAGTATATATATATATATATATATATATATATATATATATATATATATATATATATATATATATATATATATATATGTGTGTGTGTGTGTGTGTGTATGTGTGTCTTTGTGTATGTGTGTAAGTCCTGACAATGTAAGAAATAACTCTAATCTACCCCTTGGACTATAACCTATCTGGAGTCAGGGCAAGTCTGACTTAACCCAGAATGGCTAATCCCTTCATAAAGCTGTATTAACAACTGACTATATATAAACATCGTTAGTATTAAATGTGGACACTCCAAAGCCCTTACCGGGAGGTGGGGTTTACCCTAACTGCAAAGTTTACAGAGACAAAAAAAAAGGGGGGGGGGGGGATGACACCATAAGGTGCCGCACTGGGCACACTAGACCCAGACTTATATAAATTCTGACTAATCCTGTATTCTAAGACGCACCTATAATACCCCAATCTTATCCATCGTCTATCGCACTGTTTAAAATGATCTTAGGCGCCAAAGGGCTCACGAGATAGCCCGAGGTACCAAATCGTTCCCTGCCGCGACGCCGGCAGACTCGAATAATTCAATTTAATAAACGCCTACAATGCCTAGTTTATTCACAATCTATCGCATTTGTTTAAAACGAACTAAGGCGCCATGCAGTAGCGTAGCGAGGGGGGGGCGGGGGGGGGGGACATATGTCCCCGGGCGCGGACCTTAGGGGGGGCGCCAAATTGAAAGTTTGAGGGGGGGGTGCAAATGAAAAGTTCGAGGGGGGGGGTGCAAATCGAAAGTTTGAGGGGGGGGGTGCAAATGAAAAGTTCGAGGGGGGGTGCAAATCGAAAGTTTGAGGGGGGGGGGTGCAAATCGAAAGTTTGAGGGGGGGGGGGTGCAAATGAAAAGTTCGAGGGGGGGGGGGTGCAAATCGAAAATTTGCTCCCAAGGGGGCGCCAAATTGAAAGTATGTCCCCGGGCGCCGGAAAGGGTCGCTACGCCTCTGGCGCCATGACGCTCACATGATAGTCCGGAGCGCCATATCGCAATCTACCAAGGCGCCCGTGGACGCGTCTGATTCGATATAGTCAACAATTATTGTTGCTCATCGTGTCTTTAGTGTATAGCCTTTTTTAAAAAAAGATCGCAGACGCCATCGTGGTGACAGGCGCTTGGAGTCAAGCAATGGCCGGGTTGCCGGCGGCTGCGCCTGTTTCAGTTTTACCGCTGAATATAGTATTACCCGCTATGCAGGACTCTCATTTAACAAATACCAAGTGCTAAAATACATGCTTTGGAATTCTGGCGCCAAACCGTGTATAACACAAAATCGCATCCTCCCGGTAACTGCCCATAAGAAATTGTATGGTTCGCAGAATCCTTCCCTGAAGTAATTGCATCAACTTCCCAAAGTTTCATGACACTCGGATCAATCGCATTAGACGTTTATTTTTATGTACAGTATTAAGGAAAAAATCGCATCGTACCCTGCCGGGGCGCCGCCATGGCGAAATTGAAATATTTTTGTTCACAGAAACCTATTCTGGAGTATCCTCAACAACTTCCCAAAGTTTCGTGGCGATAAAGGACTAACCCACAAACCCACTTACTTTCATATATATATATATATATATATATATATATATATATATATATATATATATATATATATATATATATATATATATATATATATATATATATATATATAGCGAGAGAGAGAGAGAGAGAGAGAGATAAAGATATGGATTATTGGAAAAAGATTATTACATAAATGAGTACACCTTGATATACAAATTATTTGCTACTTTTTTCAGTTGTGTTTATTTTGATTGGAATTATCGTCTGGGGGACCAAGCTGTACGACCCAGTGTCGGTGTATGCCAACATCGGTTATTCTTTTATCCTGAGCATCGTCGGTGGAACCCTCATCGTTATTGGTGGGATAATGACTGGCTTGACAAGCAGGGGGTAGACTTTAAAGTCAAGAAACATTGATTGGAATAAATAAGATATTTTAAAAATTTCATTTGTCTTCACGTTAAAGGATTGCAGCATTTTACCTGAGTGGATCGTACACATTATATTGACTGAAGTAGGTTATGGGAGGGGGTAATTTTGTTACAGTCGGTATTATATATAGGGTAATATGATTATATTGAAGCAATTTTAAATAACGCTGAACCTTTATTGTATTCTAAATTTTGAATCAATGCATTAATTTTTTTTTCTGGAAATCGAATATGCTTTTGATATATTTAAAAAAAAATAGAATTAACAACTGATTTTATCTAAAATTATAAAATTTATAAAATTAATAATTATTAAAATCAAAGAACGCAATTTTGTACACAATTCTTAATCAATTATTGCATATTTTTAAGCGTATTTTCTGCATGATTTAGTAAGAAATATTCAGAACTAAGACATGTGAAATTGTAAATAAAATAAAAATGTGGAACAAATGTGTTGTTGTCTGTAATTGTACAATAATTTAATGAGTTTCTTTGTTATAAAAATCATTACGATCTATAATGTCAAATAACATTCAAGAAGAAATCTCTGTTTTTAAAAGACAGAAACGTGTAAGCTGAGGTATGACATTCCTTGTCAACTTATTAACATTAGAAAGCGCAACATTCTGCGACATCACAGTCCCATGCTGACACACGCGTTAGTAACGCCATAGACGAAAACTTAATATTGGGGTCGATTTTTTTTCTCACCCTAAGCGTGGTAACCGAAAACGGAGAATCACGACAGCTGTCACGTAGTTTCAATTTCATGTTCTGGTATTTAGTGCACACCATTGATTGGTGTTACGGTTCAGCGAAGCCCTACCTTTCACTCCACAAAACGCCTTGAGCGAGGCTATGGATTATTCAATAGATTCTTTTCACTGGCTCTGTAGCTATGAAAACGGAGGACAAACACAATTTAATTTGAAAAAATGATGTTAAAGATTTGGGAAATATTATTTGAAAGGGGAAAAAATGTAAAGGAAACAGGATGTCCTTGGCTCAGATTAACATTTTTAAAGAGTCATAGTTTTTTTTTCTTTTTTTTTGTGTGTTTTATTTTACAATTTCCATTTATAGAGTGTCAATCCTCGAAAACTTTAATTTCAACAGATTGCATCTTTTAAAGTCCCATGCATTACACAAACTCATAACTAATAAAATGTAGAACTATCAATATAACTAATTAAACTTGTTTTACTAAATTTTTAATTAGAATTTCTGTACCTTAACAGATCAGTTTTTACTTTCTCGTATACGAAGTATAGAGAAAGTATTGTAATCGTGAAAAAAAATCGAGATTTTTGCAAATCTCGACGCTTTACACCTCGCTGATTCGGAAAAACATAATTTTGCAATCTTGTCCGTTTGTCTGTGTGCGTGTTTGTGTGTGTGTGTGTGTGTGTGTGTGTCTTTGAAAACGATAGCTTGAGTACCGTTACAGCTAGGTTGATGAAATTTCGTATATAAGTATTGTATCGAATTTGTAGATCCGTATCAACTTTTCAGCGCTTTCTGATAACCGGAAGTGGAACTTTTTTACATTCAATTTTTCAAAAGCCTATAACTTGAGTACTATTTTAGATAGATAAATGAAATTTCACATGTAAGTAAAATTTCTCATTCTCAGCCCTTTGTTAAATTTTGAGTAATTTCCGTTGAACGGAAGTACTAATTTACGCTATTTCCAATTTCTCAAAAAACGCATGTGAATTTATAAAGTACTGATAATATTCCGCACTATTATACACATTTTGTTTGGAGTTCACTTGATGTGCAATTCTTTTTTTTTTCGAGATTCTATTCTATTTTAAAAAAGTTTAAGTAATTAAAAATGGATTTAAAATATTGTCTATATCCTGAGTTGCCATCCCCCGTAGTGTTATACAGAGTTTCTTCCTGGCATCTCTTCGAGGGGGCACAGCCCCCCCCCCCCAAGAAAGTCTACTGCCCCTCCCCCTCCACCCCATCGAACGAAATGGAATTTATACAGAAAACATATACTTTTACCAGTGTCCGCCCCCCGGTAAATATTGACTGCCCCCCCCCCTACCCCACCGAAAATATCAAGTGCCCCCAGGAGAAAAAAGTCTGGAAAAAACACTGGTGTTATATAAGATTATTCGAGAAAGTTTAGGGGAGATCACTCCCGGTTTATTTAATAATGGGCTTTTAATTTGTTTTCAAATACTTCCTGAAGTTAAACACTTTTACTATAAAATCTAACTAAATTCAAGTTACGTATAATGTTTTTATTTTGGAGCATTAATAAAGAATCACACTATTTTGGAAGTTTTAGTTAGTTTTTGAGAAATGGACCGAAGAAAAACGCACGTAAGATTCGACTAGCATCCACGTCCTATTCGCAAAACCCAACAATCATAGTAAGCCAAATAACGGAGAGTATCTTATTTTTCTTTCATAAATTTTTTTTTAATAACAAGCTTTTATGTAATAATGCACTAATAGGTAGAAAATAAATGTTACACTACTATTCAAATAACTGTAAAGAAAAGCGTGGGTTACTATAGAATCTAGTACATACCTTTAGTAATATTTAGGAAGAGAGCCACGCTTTTCTTTATAGTAATTTAAATAGTAGGGTATAATTTATTTTCTCCTTTTTAGTGCATTATTACATAAAAGCTTGTTATTAAAACGTTTCTTATGATTTTTTTTAGTACTTTGGGGTCATCCATAAATGACGTCACGCTTTTTTGACGATTTTTACCTCCCCCCCTCCCCTCCGTCACACGTCGTTACAAAAAGTCAGACCCCCCCCCCTAAAATGACGTCACACCTCAACCTACAACCCCCCTCAAAATTGCTGTTGAATTTTTTTAAAACATCGATATTTTTCTAAAATCTTGTCTAAACTATTGCTATTTATTAAAACAGCTATCTAAAACACGGAATAAATTTTAAAATTCGTTTTCTAACATTGCTTTTTTATAATGCAAAATTGTGAAGTCGCAACATCTGACCCCCCCCCCCCCCCCTCCCCCCTCCCCCTCATCACACATCGTCACAAAATTACGGACCCCCCTCGCCCCTACGAGTGTGACGTCATTTATGGATGACCCCTTTACATTTTTATTTTACACAAGAGTTGCATGACTAAAAACCATTGCGTACCTATTGAACGTGATGACGCGTGTCGAAGAGCGCGGAATAGTTTGATGAGACAGCCTACTAATTTGGACTAAATTTTAATTAATTCATAAAAAAATAAATAAGTCAACCAATTCAATAAAATTTAATGTCATGTTGCATTATCTTCATGTCTTGACATACGTACCAACAACTAACCGTATCTGTCACTTAGAAGTGCCTGCAATTTCGCTCGGGCGTTTCGATCTAGACAGACTGACGACAGACTGAAGAGGAAGTGAGTTAAATAAAAGCTTGTAAATACGTATTTTTTTTCACAAAATTGGTACAAAACACACGGAATCAAAGTTTATTATTTAAATTTTCCTCCATAAAAAGTGCGTAGTGAAAATTCACAAAGCATGCGAAGTATTATAATAATAATCTATATATATAATTCTCTTCTTCGAGCCGTTAGAAAACAAGCTGCAAACGCTCTCCCTACCTCCCCACCCCTACATGGTTTTAGTGAGCTGTGTTCACTCTAAATGTTTACAAGCAGAGCCAACGATTTTAAACGTAGGGGGGGGGGGGGGAGGAGGGGGGAGGGAAGGAAGGGGGGGGGGTTATGGTCCTTAACGAGCTACTTATAGTGTTTTAAAGAAATATTTTCAGTGTCAGCGCTGGTACTGTCGAATTCACAAATTATGAATTATTGAAAATTAGAAACAACTAAATAGCGGCGTATGTTATGCCGCGGGCCGGCTCGTAATAATTATTTTAATACTTTAATCATTGGTTATTCATATGAGATTAGAGCTTAGAAAATATTATAGAAAGAAATAGGTGTTTCTAAAAGACAATAAGGTGAAGTAAAAGGCTTCTTTTTAGTTGTGTATGTTAAAATTGCATGGGGCAGGTGAAGTAGAGCTCAGCTGTTTCTGTGAACTCAGCGTGAAAGTCTGGTCAGCACTATGCTCAGCCGAAATCCAATGGATAACAGGTGGTCGAGTTTTCACATATTAATCGAAAGGAGGACTTGTTTCAAAAGTGTAATTAGTCTTTTTAAAATTGGTTCTTTCTATTGTGTAAAATGTGTAAGCGAACAAAATGTATAGCGATTTTGTCCCCAACATCGTGATGGGAGTCACCATAAGCAAGACGGATATACGCTTGACTTGAGTTTAAAAAACATCATTGTTGGATAGAATAGTTCACAGCACTAGACAGGAACCTATTGCGTTTTTAACAAGCACTCAAAACACCGCACAACGTTGTTACATGTCCAATGGAGTGTGACATCGTAGGAAAATGTTAAACGGGAAGACCGAGAAAAGCTTGGGGAAAAAAGTTATTGAAGTAAAGGGGAGGGCGTATGTTGGGGAGGTACCAGGGGTTCACTCGTTGTATGTGGACACCCATTCGATTGTATATGTTGTAACCACTGTTACTTCATTAATCTCGCACTAAATCACACAAAAACACACAGACGTACCGGAACACAGACACACACACACACACACACACACACACACACACACACACACACACACACACACACACACACACATATATATATATATATATATATATATATATATATATATATATATATATATATATATATATATATATATATATATATATATATATGTATATATATATGTATATATATATGTATATATATATGTATATATATATGTATATATATATGTATATATATATGTATATATATATATGTATATATATATGTATATATGTATATGTATATATGTATATGTATATACGTATATATATATATATATATATATATATATATATATATATATATATATATATATATATATATATATATATATATATATATATATATATATATATATATATATATATATATATATATTGTGCTGTCCCACTCGACCAAATCGTCCCCTTGTCTTTATCAAAGGCACTTGGTTCTTTTTCTTCTATATATGTTCAAGGGAAGATATAATTTTCTTCCTATTATATAAAAGAAAGATACGCATTTTCTTCCAATTATGTAAATGAAAGAAAAACAATTTTCTTCCAATTAAATAGAAGAAATATACACATTTTTCTTTCACTCATGCAAACGAAAATAGAGTCAACCAAGCTCTATATGGCACTCTGCATAAGTGAAGATTCCATAATTTTACTTAGCATCATGCCAAGTGTTGCTTTTATTTATTTTCTGTTGATGAGGATAATGTTGATAGATTACTAAAGAACCCCCGATTCTAATTTTTTAAAACAGTTTTTTTTGTTTCAAATGCTAGATGGTATATAATGCAGTCGCAGTGTGTAAATACCAATTCTTTAAGACTTTCATTTTCATTTCCACATGGAATTTTCTTAAATTTAAATGGAAGCAACTCTAGCTTAACACGTGTACGTGCATATTATTATTTCTGAGTAGCGTACCCTGATGATGGTTTGCCCTTCAGCGCACAAGCAAAAACAGACACAAAAGCATCGAGTTCGGTTCTATATCGTAGTGCACCTGAGCGCACTCAGCTATAATGGGTTCCTGGCTTTAGTGAGAGAAGTAATGGGGGCTGGACACAATAGGCTCAATTCAGATCACACAATGATTTCAGGGGTCGGCGTGGTCGAGTCGGTAAAGCTCATGGTTGCAAAACCGAAAAGTCTCGAGTCTGAACCCTCGGGCAGATGAGGCTTGTTAGCTGTGGACAACAACTCTTCTAAGAGAGACAACTCCAAAATCAACCAATTGCTGCCTTATAGTTTGTTCTTGGTTGGACAAAGGCTATGGAAGCAAATCCAAAAGAAAAGCAGGCTGAAATCGGAGTCAATGCTCAATGGCGCATAACCAGTTGACACGTATCCTTAATTGTGTTGGAGGGCGATCCCATCCAACACTAAAATTAAGAACGAAGAAGAGGAAGAAGAAATGAATTCAAGAGTAAAACAAAATATATATACGCTCTACTTCAACTACCATTAAATTGGATAATAGAGACACTTGAACCATCCAACTGGCAGTTGAAGTAGAGTTTAAATGTTTACTTTATTATTTACCAGCTGATCACCCCGGGAATCGAACCCTGAAACTTCGCCATCTAGTGTGACGCTCTAACTACACGTCCACGTCTTAGGTAATGCAAGGCCACGCCATTATATACTTCATTATATACGTAACAGGCGGTAAAAGTTGGTGGTGGTGAGGGGGGGGGGGTCAAAGCGAGGCAGAACTTCATGGCTAATTAATTTCGACCGTAAATAAACATACGTCGAAAAAAACATGTGGCTGGAGTTTTAACATGTGATTAAATAGTTGCAGCTTTGTCATGCTGTGCGGTATGCATCAGAGATATGGCTTTGACCCTTGACCTTTTCCATTTGTAACGAGGTACTGTGTGTAGGAGAGTGGTGGATGACCTTTGACCTATTACACAGTTTTAACAATTTATTTGTGTTGTGTTCGGGTTATCGCCACGGATCTAAGGCAACACTTAAAATAGCGACCGTTTTATAAAAAAAATCTTCATTTTTCCAACATAGCACGACACTTACACAATGTACGGTGGCTCCTTACAAACGTGTAGGCTACATGTTACTTTCTCCCCTTGGACTACCAGTTGTCTCCCTTTTATACAGCTCATATCACTGTTGCTTCCCTTTCTGAACTCGTTCACACAGTACGAAATCAAACACACATATACGTCAGATCAACTCACTATACAATACTTACAGCAACCAGAGGCGTAGCGACCTATTCAGGCGCCCGGGGCGGACTATACATTTTGCGCTCCCCTCCCTCCCATTTCATTTCTAATATAATTATTTCTGTCTGTGAACCCCCCCCCCCCTACCCAGTTGGAAATATTTGTAGCGCTTCTTACCACTTACTATCCCGTAACAATTTCTATTTCGGTGCCATAGAGTTGTTAAATCATTGTGTAAAGCCTTGTAGTCGTTTATTTTCGTAGCTTTTGCTGTTAATTCAATACTTAAGCTTAAAATGAGCTTTTAAATTAATTTTTCTACCCCTTTTGGCGCCCCCTTATGTTTGGCGCCCTGGGCCAAACCCGCCCGCCCTCCCCTTGCTACGGCACTGCAGCAAACACACGTAGTTTGACATACACACATGTGACATAAACACATACCCTCCACCTGTCTTCACAAAATAGGTAAGTATGTGTGTTAAATTTTCTAGTCAGCTTTTACCGTGAACTTTATTTTTCTAAAAACTAAACAATTAATGTTAATCAATTCGTGGAATTAAGACAACGTGAGGTCACACTGTCTCTACCTCACCTCCCCCTCGTCACACATCGTCACAAAAGTCTGAACCCGCCCCCCCCCCCCCCCTAGGTTGTCGTTATTATTATTATTATTACGAGCCGGCCCGCGGCATAACATACGCCGCTATTTAGTTGTTTCTAATTTTCAGTAATTCATAATTTGTGAATTCGACAGTACCAACGCTGACACTGAAAATATTTCTTTAAAACACTATAAGTAGCTCGTCAAGGACCATAACCCCCCACCCCCTTCCTTCCCCCCCCCCCCCTTCCCCCCCCCCCTACGTTTAAAATCGTTGGCTCTGCTTGTAAACATTTAGAGTGAACACAGCTCACTAAAACCATGTAGGGGTGGGGAGGTAGGGATCGCGTTTACAGCTTGTTTTCTAGGCGTGTTTGCAGCTTGTTTTCTAGCGGCTCCCAGAAGAGAATTATATATATAGATATTCATCACTTAGGGGTGAGACTAGTTCACACACATCATGTAGGGCCTATATAGTAGCTAAGGAGGGATGGGGTTGACACTATGAGTTACAGCACCAGTAGGCTATCATAGAATCGGCCACTGAGAGAGATCAACACAGTATAGACGCACCTAAAGAACACAGTTTCTGCGCATCCCATAGTGTGAACAACCCTCCCCGCATCGGCGCACCATCTGAGACCAATGTTGAACGCTAATCGCACACAGACCCCAACACACGGCATGTTCTACACACCGTGTTGTACATTGTTGACATTAAGGAAATCAAAAGATAACCGTAAGTCTCCTGCCATACTCTAGTCTTACTCGGTTTTCATTGTCATTCTAAGCATATTATTATAACTATAAACAATGATCGAGAACAGATATCTTATGGTTAACTAACTCCTGGCTTGTTTTATTTTTGTCTTGATTTAGAGAAACGAAAATAAGCCAAAATCCTGTTAATCTCTTAATCCCTGAATTAAAGTTGACTATAGCTGATAGTTGGGGACGGCGTGGTCTAGCGGTAGAGAGCTAGACTGCTAACCCGAGAATCTCGAATCTGGGTTCAAATCAGTGGAACGTCCATAAGTCCATCAAGCTCTGATGGGTACCTAACTTACGTTAGGGAAACAAAAGCGGCTGGGTATAGTGCTGACCACACTATCCCTTCATATGCCGAGGTCAATGAATCAGATTAACTCTACTTCATCTGCCCCAAGTGTTACTTGGGCACGAACGGGATTAAGAAGAAGAAGATAGCTGATAGTTGAGTATCACTGACACTACAATTTTAACCCAAAAATAAATCAGAAAATCCTAAACATAAGTTAAATACGAGAATACTTTTCGCCTAGAGTTCATTTAGACACGTAAAAATGTAGTTTCATACTTTGTTCTGCTTGTATCGCTTCTAGTGTAAACGTGTAAGATTCGCTTAGTCCAGGGTTAGGGTAAGGGTTGTAGTAGCGCTCTAAATTATGTATGAACTTTTTTTTAGCTAGAGTAAGAAGTCATGATTGGTGGATAATTACAGTTTGGTTAGAGTGAGAAGTCATGAGTGATGTGTGACTACAGTTTGGCTAAGGTTCCTTATTGGTGTATGATCAAACACTAACATAAACCCAAACGGCTAACTAACGCTGGATGCCCCTACATCTTTCACCGACCCATAGCGTAATCATAACCCTAACAGTGAATATAGCTAACATAATTCTGAGGCGGTCAGCGGTGTAGAGGATTAGATTAACGTAAGGGTTAGCGTTTTGGTAGAAAAGTCAACATGTTCTTGAACAAACACAGAACAGCTATGCTTTCGTCTTCTGTTTAATAACATTTACACCCCACAGCTTAAAAAAAATTCTGCAGAAATTACTAGGACTACATATTAGCTAATTAAATCCTTAAACAAAAATTGTTCACGTTTGAAAAAATATTTTTTTCCCAGAACCTGCACCCCCAAGCATCGTCGTCCGCCACATCGGCAGAGAATAACTAAAGCCACAGTTTCCAGCTAAAAGTAGGTCAAGCGGACGATCCAAGATGGCGGAGATCCTACAAGCCATGCGGACCTTCGCCATGCTGAAGGACTCCGACACGAACATCGAGGAGGGTCAACAGAAGGAGTTTCTGAGGGGCACGTTCAGCATCATGGAGTTTGATGAGACGGGCAAGGAGCAGTTGGATGAGCTCAAGGTCAGGGGGTCGTCGTCGTGTGTGGTGTGTGTATGTGTGTGTGTATGTGTGTGTGTGCCTGTGTGTGTATGTGTGTGTGTATGTGTGTATGTGTGTGTCTGTGTGTGTGTGGTGTGTGTGTGTGTGTGGTGTGTGTGTGGTGTGTGTGTGGTGTGTGTGTGCGTGCGTGTGTGTGTGCGCCCGTTAATTATTTATCAATAAGGGGGGGGGGGTGGTTGGGGAAGGGGCTAGATCTAAGGATTTTTATAAATATATTTAGTTCGGTGGTGAGGTAGGGGCAGGGGGGGGGGTAAAATATATTTAGTTCGGTGGTGAGGTAGGGGCAGGGGGGGGGGGGTAGTTATTGGTGAACATTTTGAAAATTTTGAGATGCAGAATTTCAAAGTTTTGATGGAAGTGACTGGCAGTTTAAAAATTAAAAAAAATGTTCGTTATTTTAAAATCTAATTTAATATTCAAAACCAAATATGTCTACGATTAAAAAAAACACTACATTTTTTTATCTTTAAAATAGGTATAGAATATATAAATAATACAAATAAATATACTTTAAAAGGCCAAATTCATGAGGTTTAAAAAAGAGCTGGGTGGCCTTGACATTGAGGAGTTCAAGGACGCCCTGAAGCCGCTCATCTCCAAAGGCATCAGCATGAACCAGATCCTGATCACCTTCCGCAAGATGGACCCCTGTGACGAGGAGGCGGTCACGTGGAACGATTTTCATGAACTTCGCCATAGAGGTGAGTACTTCATCTTAAATTTAACCCGCAACATGTGGGCTTAACCCTTATTGTACTATAACTAATGATTCCATGGTTAACCCTAAACATAACTTCATTAAATTGTCCACCTTTACCCTAACCGTTTTTTATCCCATGTTAAGATAACCATGTCTAATCAACAGAACACTATATCATTTAGAAATAGAACTACGGATTAAGATTGGTTAAGGAAAAGTTAAGGTAGTGTTAGAAACAAGTTGGCGTTAAGTATATGATTAGGTTAAGGTTTAGTGATAGTGAGGTTAAGGATAGGAATTGGCATAGAGTCAGAAATAAAGAACCTA